GGGTGGGGTAGGGGTAAAGAGGTGTGTAGGTTTTGAGGTGTATAGACATGGAAGGTCTGTTACTGGCACAGAAGATGGGTGACAGCATGCCTGTCCACATTTACTACTGCTGACCTTGGTCAACCCCTTTATTTTATCAAAGACTACCTGGAGAATGGAGAGTGGAGTGATTTCCTCACTCTAATTAGTGGAAGAGTTGGAACTGGCACCCAGGTCATCTAGCTCCCAGATCAGTGCTCTTGCAGGTGGCCCCAAATGAAACACCCTGAGCCACAATCTAACCTTGTGTCATCTTTGCTCCTCCTTCTCTAAAAAGAGGACCCCTCCCACCCACCCAAGGTGGGAAAGGCCTAGAACCCTAGCAGAGACCTGCAGTAGCAGCTAGGAGAGGGCCAGACTGTAATAATAACTTGGAGTTGCACTGAGTGGCAGCATTCCTCCCAGAAGCTACAGACACAGGGGGAAAAACCCCTGTCTATTGTGCAATTCTGCTGAGGTGTGTCTGCCAAGTTTCACCCTCAGAGGCAAGAATGAGGAAACCAGGATAGATGGGCTTGGCCCCAAACTCCACAGTCTAGTGGTGAGGTCCAGATGGAAGGTTATGTCCATGGGCTACAGGAAGTGCAATCTGGCTTAAATTTGAATCCTGTGATCTTGGGCAAGTCCCCGCTGAGCCTCAGCTTCAGAAGATCCTTTCCTCACAGGGTTCTATATCAAGGACACTAGGCTCTCATTAAATACTAATCATACATACTGTTTTCTCTTGCCTGTGGGTCTTTACACATGAGGCTCTGGCTCTTCTGCTTGGACACTTCTACACTTCCTCTGTTCATATGCTACCCACTCATCTTCTGGGGGACCCAACTTAGACATCTCGTCTTCAGAGAAAGCAGTGAGGGGGTTACTGTATTTTTATGCAAATAACGCACCCGTTCTGCTTTTTGCCAACCAGCCTTCTCCCAGGGAGGTGTTTTTTTTTTTTACAGCAACATGTAAAAAAAGAATTAGCATACCTTGCAAGGGGAGGGTGGGGTTGGCAAAAAAAAATGAAGACCGCGCATTATTTGCATAAAAATACAGTAGGTGCCTCTTTTCTGTGCATCCATGGCACTGTGAACATATCCCGTCTGAGCACTTACCCCCACTGGGCTATAGCTGCTGTCTCCTAGACTAGACTGTGAGTTCCTTGAGGGCAAAGATCACATTATTCATCTCTGCCTCCTCAGTGCCTAGCACTTAGTGGGCTCAAGGAATAAATGCTGGCTAACTTAATAATAATGAGTTCTGTTCTCTTTCCTTTCATTTATGTCCACAATACAGAACTACAGGAGACTTAAAAAAACACCAAAATCCCAGTTTTCAATAGAGCACCAAACCAGAATGCTAATTTTTTTTTTTTTAAAGTACAATAATTCCATCTTAAAAACCAAGTCACCTGCATGAAGTTTTGGTTCTAAACACTGACATCCACTGTGAAAAAAGGAAACCCACTGTGGAAAACAGTGCCCTGCAGTGAGAACTCATGACCTGCTCCCCAAGTTCCACCTAGCCTGAGACAGAATGGGGACATGTCCACAGGCTTCACAGCTTAGCTTCAGGAACTCATTCTGTACTAGCAGCAGGTCTGTGAGAAAGCCTGAAGATCAGGATGCTGTCTTATGAAGGCTCCAGGATCCTGAAAAGAGGAGGAGACAGAGGAAGGTATTTCTACTGTCTTCCCCAGGATAGGGCTGCCCTTCCTATGAAGAGTAGACTCGGGGTCACCAGAATGACCTATAATTTCACCTTCTCTTTTGACCCAGCTTATTACCAATTTTATACCCCATCTCATTCTCAAAAAATTTTTGAGATGATTGTTATTGTTTCTTCAGGTCTACGTATCAAGGAATTTAAATAAAGAAAGGGCATCCTAGTTGCAAGATCTTGGGCAAGTGATTCTAACCTTCTCGAGCCTGTTCCCTTATCTGTAAAATGGGGATAACAGTGATCAAACTGGGTTACCGTGCTTTTTAAATGCCATAGTATATGTAGAGAATTTAGCTCAATGCCTGCCATGTAGTAGGTGTACAATAAATGAGAGCTGTTTTACCATAATACCCGAGAATAGCAAAGTCACAAGAGGGAACTTCCAGGAACAGAAGGAAAGAGGAGGCTATCAGGGTTTCCGAGAGCTATCTGATAAACAGAATCCACAACTCTACACAAGGGACAATGGCCATGAAGATGCCTGAAATTTCTATGTTTGTAACTCCCCCACGCTTGACATTTTCTTCTGCGGTCTTACTTCATTTACGTTAACAGTTAAATCCTTTAAGTGAAAAGGCCTGAGTGTTTAGGGGAACCCATTTTGTGGGGGAAGGGAGAGAAATTGCAAGAGACAGCGGAAAACAGTTTAGCAGAGGAAAAAAATAGCTGGAAAATTTGGAGGCTGACAGGAATGAAGAAAGAGACATTCAAAGTGTAGACACGAGAATAGGAGATACCTGGGGGCCTCACTTTGCGGAGTTCCACAGCCCTCAGACCTGGCTGACCACACCTCATCCCTCCCAGAGCTCTGGCCCACAGTGCAGTATCACAAATCACCCCAGTCTGGGGAATGCTATGCTTTGGCGCTGGGTAGTTGTATGACGCTACCTGGTGTAACCTGACACAGACACCCAGTCACCGGGATGTTTAAGGACATTTGATTCTTTCTGTGACAGTGTAGTTACCCTCAGTCTTATAAGACATGACTACAAAGAGAATCCCAGCCTCTGGCTTCAGTCCATACACGGACAAGTCAAGTCACCAGAAATCTGGGTCAGAAGGGAGAGTGTTCCTTCTGAGGCAGAAGGACAATTACTGCTTGCCTGATAATCTGTACCACAGGGCAGTGGTTCTAAACCCTGGCCTCGGCATCAGTCACCTGGAGAACTTTAAAAAACACAGATGCTCAGGGGCTACCCTAGACCTACTAAGTACCTCAGTAGTGGGGCCTGGGAATATGTAGTTTCTAAAAGCTCCACAGACAGCTGAGATGTGAAGCCAAGGTTGAACACAATGCTTCATGGAAGTGTCATGGTTTGAACTTCTGGGAAATTACTATGGTTCCACACAAGAACACAAGAGAAGCTGCCTTTGTGTCCTAAGTGGCATCTGCCACCACAACAGTTTGGTTCAGCTTCCTTTGCTCTCTAAGATGAAGGAATCCATCAGGAGGGACTGTCCTCAGCTCTGTCAGGCAAACACCTTCCCTCTCCTGCCTAACTGCCCCTCCCACCCCCCACCCCAGAACCTTCTCCAGGGTCCCTGAACATCTAAGACATCTTCCTCATCATCACACATCTCACTCCCCTCTTTTTTTTTTTTTTTAAACAAATGAGCATAGTAAGAATTCAGTACAATGTGCACTTCTTACTGACACTAGATTCAGATTTAACCAGAACTTTTTGTTTTGTAGCAGGTCCTGCGTTAGACACATACATTACAAGCCTGTGAGTGAGTCACTTAACCGTCCCATTTGAGGTGCGTTCCTGGAAACGGAGAAGTGCTCACCAGAGCTTTACCAGTTCATTATAGCAGAGTCCTCCAAGAGATGTCTTCCTGACATGGTGATTCATTACCTCCGATCAACATACAATTTGGGGTTTATTGACTGATGTGTCTTCTCAATATTCTTTCCAATTGCTGTAATGGTGCATGGGCTAGGCTGAGTGCATGACATTGAATCTATCTGAGGCTTATCCCTTTCAGCTGTCAAAATACGTAGCCTGGATTTTAACCATTAAAATAATTCCATGTTTGCCTGTCCTTTGGAAAATAAAGTATTTGCTGGGAATCAAAGCAGAGTTGTAAACAAGGGACTTCGGGAAAGCATGCAGGTACTTTTTGATGAAGCGCCTTAGATTGATTTCAGGTGATTAGCACTATGAGCTATGCTTGTATTGTCTCTATTTTTTAACAGTGACGAAACTGAGGCTTAGAGAATCTAAGTAACTTGCCATACACACACAGCTAAGACAGGGGATGGCAGATATTTGACCCCAGTTCTTCTGATTTCCAGAACAGTGCTTTTGCTTTAGCTCCACTCCAGTAGCCTCATTCATTCTTCTGAATGGCTAAAGCTATTTATGTGCAGATTTATAATGGTTGACAACTCACATACTGTTCTTATCAACAACATGCAAAATTCATGCATTAAGATCCAAAGGAATTTGAGAAGGACATAATCATAAAGGAGGGCTCAGAGAGGCTAAGTGACTTGTCCCGTCAGACAGCTCCTAAGACACTGAGTTTGTATTTCACCTTAGGTTGGTATGGCTCCAAACCCGGAACCCTTTTTACTAAACTAAGCCAAGGTGCATATACAATGCAGTGGAGAGGCCATTGTATGAACTAGGAGTCAGGAACCATGCGTTCCTTGGCCATATCACCTTGGACACATCACTTGCCCTCTGCAAAATGGAAACTGATCAATGACCGACTTTACTGAGAGGTGAGGTCTAAATGAAATAATGGACTTAAAAACATCCTGAAAACCCCCTCCACGGATGTATGGAATTATAGAAACCAAAAAATAATAGAGGGTAAGAACTCAGGTAGGTCAGTCAGTCAGACCTGGGTTTAAATGCCGACTCTGTCACTGGCTGTGTGACCTTGGGCAAGTGACTTTACCTCTTGTACGCCTCAGCCTTCTCATCTGCAAAATGGGGATAGTACCCACCCTTAAATGAGAGTATCTACTTAAACAAGGGATTGCCTGACACATGGTACGCGATCAATAAATGTTGGTCATCGTTACTTAGATCATTACCGTTATAATCGTGCCCCTCGGGTCTTCAGCTACTTTGCGGCACGGACTTTTTGAACTACCAAACGCTCCGTGGGCTTCAGTTTCGTTCTTGCTATTCTCTGCCCCCTCCTCGGACCCTGTCCCTCCCTTCCTAGCCCCGCTTCTCCTCAGCCCGTCTCAAACCACACCAGGAACCCAGGTCTCTTCCCCCGTCTCAGCGCCACCTTACTCGACGACCTTGGCTGGGTCCCCGTGGTGCCCATAGACCAGCGCCCGGACCCAGGAGGGCTCGGCAGATGCGGAGTAAGAGGAGGTAGCCGGCCCGCGGCATCCCGAAGCCGGGTACAGCCCCTGCCCCTGCCGCGGCCCGGCCAGTGCTCGCGCCCGGAACAGCGCACCGCAGACCCACATGCTCGTCTCGGTCAAAATTGAGCCGGGCCAACCAGGATACGTCATCCTTCCGCGACCGCGCTCCTGCTCCGCCCCCAGGCGAAACCCCACCCACGGGCGCGCCCCTCTGCTCTTTTTAAAGGGCGGTTTCTTTCCTCTGTAGGCCACGTGGTGGCGCGTGGGGAGACAGTCTGGAGAGACGAGGTGGGAAGTGGAGGGACCTGAGATTCCGAGGGCGCCAAAGCTGCTCTCCTAATAAGGAGAGTCTGGGATTGGCCTAAAGCTGTGCCTACAACCGGGGCTGCACTTACGTTTTTGATTTGGGAGAGTGATTGTACCCTCCCTGGCCTCAGCTTCCCCTTCTCCCTACCATTATTGAGAGCTCACTATGCCAGGCTCTTTATAGGTATTTCTCATTTAACCCCCACTAACCTAGAACTGCACAGGAAGGTGAAGCCTACTTCCCTACACTGAATAGAGTATATGTAAACTGATACGGAGGCAAGAGTACTGGGCTTGGAGTTAGAGGATTTGGGTTCAAAGCCTAGCCCTGCTACTTTTCTGACTGGGCCACCTAGGGCAAGTGACGGAAACTAGAAGTCTCTTTTCTTCTTCATACAATGGGGATAATATATCTCCTTCAAGGCTGTTGTGAGGATTGGATGAAATAATAGAATAATTTTGTGGATGTGAAGGCGCTTTGTAAAATGCTGAGTGTGTTAGGATACATAAGGGAGGAATCATAAGGAGAGGGTCCTCCCTTCAAAATGCTTACCGTCTAGAAGGAAATTAATTGGGGCAATGGAAGTGGTTTGTCAAAAGGTGTAACTCAGTCAAGATGCCAGATCTTATTTTTAGGGGAAGGAAGACATAGACATAAATAACTAAAACCCCAGTTGAACATAAGAGCATGACAGGGTGTACTGTTGGAGTCTGAAGGAGAGGTGCTCCTGGGATGGGTGGGATGGAGGATGGAGGAGGTGCTGTTGGAGTAAGCCCGGTGATTCCCAATCTTCAAACACACACAAAAACCCCAGTTGCCATTGAGTAGATTCCAATTCATGAGAACCCCATGTGTTTCAGAGTAGAATTGTGCTCCATAGGATTTTCAATAGCTATGATCTTTCAGAAGTGGATTGCCAGGCCTTTCTTCTGAGGTGCCTCTGGGTGGATTCAAACTGCCAACCATTTGGTTAATAGCCGAGTGCTTAACATTTGCACCACACATGGTTTCTGTCTCCTAATCTTCAGTGTGCATAAAAATCACCTAAGTCCCCACCTGAACGAAAAAACCAAACCCACTGTGGAGTTCATTTCAACTCATGGTGACCCCATGTGTTACACAGTAGAACTGCAGAATCTTGGAGGGAGAAATCCAGGAATCTACATTTTTTACAAGATCCCAAGAATATCCTAATTCAGGTGGCCCAAGAGGCAGACTTTGAGAAACACTGAGCCAGGGCTTGGAAGATTAAGAAAGAGTTCCTTTCTCTGGACTTTATTGACCTGAAGCTTGCTAGAGCCTTTCCTCTGAAAGAGGACAGCAAGGTGCTGTGATTGAGATCGGGATCTGGACTGGGGGAAAATCTGGCTTCGAGTCCCGGCTCTGCCACTTTCTAGGCTTTTGTTCCTAGACGTGTCACTTGGCTTCCCTATGTCTCCATTTCCTTGTTCTTAAAATGAGGGGAAATAGTAGTACCTAGTTCAAGTGGTTGTGAGGATCAAGTGAGATATTATTCACTTGAAGCATTGCAGAATTTAGCACAATGCTTGGCACATGAAGGATTTGATAAATGTTACAGGCAGTTACTGTGAAGATTAAATGAGAAACAGCACATGTAAATCTCTCAGATTAGGATCTGGTTCATAGCAAGTGCTCAATAAATGTCAGGGCTTGTTTTGATTCTTAGAGAAAGTTCGTGTCCCATGATGAGTAGTCCAACAGTTGGACACACACACACACACACACACACACACACACACACCCTGATCCTGCTCACCTTCTATTTTCATGGTGACACACAGGCCTACTTATGTCGGGAGGTACAGAAGTAGGCTTCTGTTGGAAGTTTCCCTAGGTGACACTGAAATTATCTTTCCTACCAAATTGACTCCTTCTCCAGAATTCCCTAGATAGCCCAGCCAGGAAGCCTGGAAATCATTCAGCAGCTCTCCCTCCTTAGCACTGGAATTTGTTCCCCCTTCATCCCTACTGCCCTCACCTTCAGTCCAGGCCATCAGGTCTTGTGTTTATCTTGTCAACGGCCTTCTCCCTAACTGGGATCTTCCTCTGCCCTCCTACCTCTCCCTCTCCAATTCTTTCTTTCCCAGGTCTCCAGAATGATTTTTTTTTTTCCAACAAAAAGATCAAATTTTGTCTTTCCTTTGCTTCCAGCTCTTCCTTGACTCCGAATACTTAGGGAGAAACCGGAAATCACAATGCTTTCTAGAACACAATGAATTATTGACATATTAAACTTAAAATTGTAAAAAAAACGCAAAACATGATTCTATCCTCATTCTATTATTCTTTCACACAACTGACATGCACTAAAGTCTTCAGAAAAATATAGGGAGGATAAACACCTTAGGACCAAGAAAATTCTATTCATCGTAATTTAATCCACCTTCTTGCAAATTAGGAGAAGATGGCTATGGTTTTAATTTAATGGCAGAACCTCTCAGCTTGGATTGAGGGACACCTAGGTTCCTCCAGGGGCACAGTTTGAACACCACTGATGCAGAGGTTCAAGTCCAATTGCCCTGGCCTTGCATTTAAGATCCTTCACAGTCTGACTCCCACCCTGTCTTTCCAGTTTGATCTCTTGCCGTTGGATCATGATCCAGCTGCACCTCATGCCCACCTTTCCTAGTTCGTCCTGGTCTTGTGCCTTTATTCAGGCTGGTCCTTTTGGCTGAAATGCTCTTCCCTGCCTTGCCTACCCAGGAAACTCCAGGTTTAGATGTCATTCCCTTGATGTTGTTTCCCAGCTCCTAGTCAACCCCTGCTGCTTTTATGCATTCCCAGTATTTTCTAGATTGGTTTTATGGCCTTTGGGACATTGTCTCTTAGTTATTTATGTGCCTACCTCCCGCTCCGGGCAAGAGTGGGGCCATGTTTGGTTCGTCTCCATGACGCCAGCACCTGATATGGGGCCTGGCAAGGGTAGGTGTCATAAATGTTCAATGAGTTGCAGGTAATTGAATTTCCTTGTGACCTGGCACTGCCTGTGGTACTGTCCCCTTTTCTTTAGACTCCTGCTCCTCTCCAGGATGATAAAGCTTTTAAAGTAAAGCAGAGTTTTCTCTTTTCTTCTGTCCACCTGTTGCTTGTGCTCTCTTCCTCCCTCCATCATAATCTCTCTTGTCTTCCCCTGTACAAAGAGTAGAGGGTTTTGGAATCAGTCAGATCTGGGTCCGACCATTTACTAGCTGTGTGACCTTGGCCGAGTGCCTTATGCTTTCTGAGCCTTGGGTTCCACATCCAGGATCGGTGGTAAACCCCTGACATGAGACTTCCATGAGAGAGCTCTGCAAACAGCATCCTTGGCTGTTTCTTCTCCCAGGTACCAGTTTTCTCTCCTTAAGTCTCCTTTTCTGGATAGCTTTCTCTGTCTCTCCTCTTTACTCCAGTGTCTCTCTGTTTGTTTCTTCCCTATCATCACTTTTCTAAGTTAGTTTGCTAAGTATACACATTGTTGTTGTTAGCTGTTATTGAGTTGATTCCAACTCATGGTGACCCCATGTATGTAGACTAGAACTGTTCCATAGGGTTATCAAGGCTGTGACCTTTTGGAAGCAAATCTCCAGGCCTATCTTCTGAGGTGCCTCTGAGTGGGTTTGAACCACCAACCTCTCAGCTAGTAGTCAAGTGCTTAATGGTCTGCACCACCCAGGGACTCCTCCCATCACTTTTCATTGTTCTTGCTCCTGTCTCTCTCTGTGACTCTCTCTCTGGTTAATTCTCTGCGTCTGGTTCTTCCCTGCTCTGTCTCTTTCAGCCCATTCCCCAGCTCAGCCTGGAGTTCATCAGCGTTCATGAGAGAGGAGACCAAAAGCTGGGCGCCCTCAGCTCTTCCTCCTTCTGGCCTATGGTGGTGCCAGGTGTGCCAACCTCAGTGCAGAGCCAGCTAGGCCCTGCTCCAGCTGCCCCGTCCCTAGGGAGTGGAGGCAGGGCACAGGGAGGGCCTGGATACACACTGAAACTTTAGATCTGTCCAATGTCACTGCCCACCAGTCAGTCCATCCTACCCTTCTCTGTCTGGAGGATGAGTGCGGCATCTGCCCAGGGGTCCCTCTGCTTCCACAGTCTGTTCTCCATTCAACTGCTCGGGGACTTCAATGCTTCAGTGGCTTTCCACTGCTCTTAAGGTTTAACCCAAAGCCCCTTCCTTGCCCACATTTCCTTGCATGACCTGCAAGCCTTGGAACCACTTCAGCTGCCCCCTTCCATCTCCTCTCCACTCACTCCAGTCCAGCCACATTGGCCTCCTTGCAGTTCCTCAAATCCCCCACCTCCTATCTTTGCACATGGCTGTCCTCTGGCTGCAGAGTTCCTCCTCACTGATTTGCATGAGGCTGGGTCCTTCTTATATTTCAGGTCTCATCTCAAATGTCACCATGTCACTTCCTCAGGAAAGCCCTCCTGGATCACCTAATCTAAAGTAGATCCCCACCATATTCTTTTTCTTTTATTGTAGTGAAAATATACCCAACAAAACATTAGCCAATTTAACAATTTCTACATGTATAGTTCAGTGACGTTGATTACATTCTTCAAGTTGTGCAACCATTCTTGCTATCCTTTTCCAAGTCATTCCACCACCATTAACATAAACTCAATGCTCCCTAAGCAAAAACTCCCCATTCCCACCTCCCTCTCACCTTTGGTAACTGCTAATAATTGTTGGTTTCTGTGTATTTGCTTGTTTCATGTGAGATCATACAGTATTTGTCCTTTTGTGACTATTTTGCTAAGCATGTTTTCATCCATATAGTGGCAGGCATCAGGATCTCATTTCTCTTTATGTCTGAGTAATATTCCATTGGAAACCCTGGTGGTGTAGT